GACATTCAGGGAACAGGGCCCAGCATGCCGTGTTTTAACCCGCCCTCGGTGGGGTTCCGAGGGGTGCTGGAGTTAGAGAAGCTCTGTAGGCCCGAAGGCACCGCGGCTGTGGTTAGGGAACCAGGAAGTCTAACTGGGATACGACTCTGGCTACCTGGCAGGGACCGTGGCTTCCCGTCTCTCAGGAGAGCTGCGAATTCCCGGGGTTCCAGGGGCCCTCGAGACCTCCAGGGCCTGGGCAGTAGGCATTCCTCTGAACTCCGGGAACAGCCCACCCTCCGGATTTCAGAAACAATACAATGGGATGGACATGCGCCTCAGTGTCAAAGTGATACATCATCATACCAACCAGCGTTTCCTCCCCTTCTTACAGTTACCTCACTGAGCTCCGTAAAATGCTATTACTACGTAGGCGAGATAGGAAACTCGGCTCCGAGAAGCTCAGTGACTAGACCTACAGTCTCCCCCATAGACACTGGGACCCAAAGCCCAGCCTTTCACTCTAACGCCAGACTCTATCATATCAGGCAAGGCTGCGCAAGTGATAGCTTTAATCTTCCCAGGAAAGGGTTACTTCCTCCCTGATCGCCAAGCCCCAGGCCACAGACTCCAGGGGAACCAGGGTGACTACAGGGACTACAGGGGCGTTCCTTTATAGGGTAGGTGCTGTTTGAAGCCTGAACGTGGAACAGAACCTGTACCTTCCAAACATCAGCAGACGCTGATGTGTTTCACAGGCAGCCTCCTTTGCTAATGCACTGCCTTCATGGCAACATCTTGACGTTTCACTTTCACCAAAGTAAGTGGATCCTAAAAGTACAGCTGCTCTTGCATGAGCGCCTGAACTGTAACTACAATGGGGCCTTGACTTACGAGTGTCCCGACTAACGAGTTTTTTGAGACACCAGCTGTCTCTCGGCCGATTTTTTGCATTGAGTTGATAGAGTAATTTGAGTTAATGAGCTCCTTAACCAGCTCGGTCTCGGAACGAATTAAACTCGTAAGTCAAGGCCCCACTGTACATATACTAGTGTGACAGACGTACACTACGCTTCCCCTTTGCAGTGGAGCGCTCCTCCCTGAAAAAGTCGGGAGTCGTCCTTCTCCCTCGGTTTATGCGACCTCACGCGCCGTGAAGCCGGGACCTAGAAGCGAACCAGCACTGTGATTTCTTACGATATTCCTACCCCCTCTCTCTAGAGGCGCGGGAAGCACCTTTTTCTTGCTCTAAATCTCTTTTCTGGCTTCTTCTCATCTTTCTCTCCAATCGCCACGGTTCAGGAACATCAGGAAGAGAACTGGCTGGAAAGTTTGGAGAAGGAAGAGTACAGGTTGTACTGGAGACATCAATCACGCCGCTGGTCCTGCCCCCCGCGTTGCTAAGAGACCCAGGCCCCGCCCAGCACGGGTGCGGAGGGGCGGCAATAGTGGAGAATCTAGCAGTCCGGTGCCCCGGTCCAGAGGAACCGTCAGCGGCCAGCTGGGAACTTGTTAGAAATGCCAATTCTCGGGCCCCGCCCCAGACCCGCTGAATGGCAGGCAGGTCCACCAATCATTGTGGACGTGCATCCAGTTTTGTTTTTTTTTGTTTTTTTTGCCTGAACTTCTAATCACAGCGGATTGGAACAGAGAGGACTCAAGTGCAGCCACGCCATAGGCTGCCCGTGGGGGGCGGGGCGTGAGAAGAAGAGCCGGGTGGGCGGGGCTTCCCCGTAGTGACACCCGCAAGGGAAACAGTGGGGTCTGGGGTGTTCGCAGCACGTGAACGCGGAGTGAGGCTGGGCCCGAGTGTGCGAGCCACAGGGTCATGAGCGACCTGGAAACAGGAACTTACTGTGACTAAGCAGAAGCTGCGAAGCAGAACTAAAAACGAGTCATGGAGGAGACAGCGAGGAAGGCGAAACAAGGGGCGGGGAAGGACCACGAGTGCGGGACGACAGGCCCTGGGAGGTGGCAGTGAACACGGCGCTCGCAGCAGACCCAGAGCACCTGCTGCGGACCCTCGGGTTCTGGTTCTGTTCCTGGCTGCGCCCCAGCCCCTTCTGAAATAGGACTATTCCGTGTTCTGCAGCTTCTGTTCTGTGTGTCCTTAACACGTGTTTCTTCCTTGCATTTTCTTCAAGGATCCTCCAGCCCTTTTTCTTGGCACTTTCAAGGAGGGAGAGAAGACCAAACCATCCGAGCAAGAAAAGTAGAAAAAAAGCAAACGAAAATGAAATGAAAAGTTCTCCCTATAAGTTTCCCTCAATGGCTGCAGCACAAACTAGCAAAACTAAGAAACCTAAATGAGTAGGCTTTCAATCAGGTGACTTCAAGGACACTGACCAACGCCTCATAAGAGAAGCACATGGCAAAAGGTTGCTGCTGCTCGGGACTTCTCACTTTTGCTGTCTAAATACACAAGGGAAAGTGTCCAATTATTTAAAAAAATACATTGGAATGCTCATTTTATATATCAAATAGGTTGATAATTATAATAGTAGAGGCCCAGTGCATGAAATTTGTGCACTTGGGGGGGGGCGTCCCTCAGCCCAGCCTGTGCCCTCTCACAGTCCAGGAGCCCTGGGGGGGATGTCCGGCTGAAGGCTTAGGCCCTCTAAGCCTTCAGTCAGACATCCTTAGCATTGCCACAGAGGCGGGAGAGGCTTCCACCACTGCCACTGTGCTCCCCAGCCTGAGCCCGCCTTCTGGCTGAGCAGCGGGAGCACACTGACCACCAGGGGGCAGCTTCTGCGTTGAGTGTCTGCCCCCTGGTGGTCAGTGTGCATCATAGTGACCGGTCATTCCACCACTCGGTCATTTGCATATTAGCCTTTTATTATATAGGTTAACTAATAATTTTGAGCTATTCCTAGATACCAAGCAATGTTCAAAGTAGTTTACATTTTAAAAAAGATTTTAAATGTCATTTCCACAAGGACTAGAATTTCCATCTGTTTTGTTCCCTGCTGTTCCCTCAGTGCCTGGAATCGTGCTCCGCAACACTCTACTCAGTAAACACTTGTTGACTGAATTCAAATGGATCTTCGCAAACCCTTGGGTGGAGATGCTGTTCCATGCACGGATCAGTCCCTCCTGGCATGAAGAGTCCCTCCTAAATGTCTGCATGAGCTTCATACTGCCAGGCAGCAAGGTTCTGCTGGGACAAAGGCCCTGACCTCTGGGGTGGGTCTTATAAATGTTCTGAGCACTGTTATCTGAGGGATGTTGATGTTCAGATGTTGTCTTTTCACGGTCTGAAGGTTTTTATTCTTCCGGTCATTCATTCATTCATTCAACAAATATTTACGGAGCACTTATACATACCTCGCCTTGTTCTAGAAACGGAGGATATAGCATTGAATGCTAAAATGCTGTACCTGCCCCATAGAGAGCTATGAGACCCAGTGCGGCGGGTTTAAATCTCATTTTTGACCTTGGGCAAGTCCCTTAATTGCTCTACGTACAGGGTCGGAACCAGCCGTTGTGAGGACTAAATGCACTTTCAAAGAGTGAAGTGCTTAGCATGGTGCCTGGCACATAGCGAGTGCTAAGTAAATTTGATCACAATTTTTTCAACCAAGAAATAATAACGGGGCGCATAGTCTGTGGAAGGCCAGGAAGATTTTTGTGGGTTTTTGTCATGTTTTGACGTCAGCAGGGCCTAGAAGGAGCGCGGCCAAAACGAGGCAGCTGGAGAGAAGTGGCGAGCAAGTAGGAAAGTCACGTCCAAGGCGCGTCAGCCCGCGGGACCGGCCCCTTTAAGGAGGGCGGGGACCACGTGACCCACGAAGTCACGTGGCGCCGGGGAC